TGTTTATCAATGTTTTTCAAATCTTTTTTTTTTTTGTATTTCCTGTCTATTTGTATTTCATTATTAACATTTTGAACGTTGGCATCAATATTTCTCTGTTTTCTAGCAATGTGCAGTTTACTATCCATATCCGCATACAGAAAAATAATAGTTTACTATCCATACCCATATACTGAAAAATCTTAGGATTTGGACTTAAATGATACCATCCCACAAATTATAAATGTTTTGCATTCATTTGTTATTCATTTGTTTTGTTAAGCAACAACATCAAAAGAAATATGTCCGTGAGAGTCGGGCTCAATGATTGAATTGGTTGTGTTACACCTAACATACCAACATTAATGACCATGCAGTGGAGTAGCTAGGCCATTGTGGGCCCTCAGCGGGTCCAGGGCAGAGGAATTCCTGGCAGGAGGTTCAACGGGACAAAGCCCGCGCAAGCTCAAGCGTTATCAAAAAAGATACCATGTCTGTCATTGAAACTCTACAATAGCAAAATAGTTAAGCATCTGATTTGTTTATTCATATGTTTAAATTATTTATTGTGTTAATTTGGATTCTAATGAAATGTCGAAACCAGTTACTGGAAAATTTGTTAAAAAGGAGATGTGTGTGAAACAATCAATTGACAAAAAGGCAAGTCATAATTCAATGTTGTCCTCCTATCAATTATTTTCTCTTTTATCTAAGTTTCTCCCATTTTTATGCGCAAATTCCGTTATTGAAATAATTAATTTTCCTAGATGACCATGTGTAATATTGAAAAATTTGCAAAGAGATCCGTGGAACCTTATGTCTCGTCTGGGATTGTGGATGTCAGTGTAAAAGTGTAATGTTGACTGTAAGAAGTGAATCCATTCATCAGACAAATGCAAGATTTAAGAAAAAATCAAACTTTGTTTTTAGATGCTTCATCTTGATCTTGAAGAACAGCTTATTTCCAAGTTCCATAACAATCTATGAAGGTTTCCATATTTATCATGTACAATAACCGTCTGTTAATTGCAAAAAAAAGAAAGTCATTCATTTTCTGAAAAACGAAAAATAAAACTTTCAAACTTTTGCTTCAGACAAAATGTCGTTATCATATAAAAGGTTCTGCCAAATTTTCATAAAATTCCATGAAACTTGACGAAGTAATTGATATGTTACAAACTAGTCAGACTGTATAGTCATGTTATCAGTAAAATAAGCAAAATATAAACATATCTTTTCATTATGATCTGGATAGTGGCTTTTGATCATAAAAAAAAGCTTGAGTCCAACTTCCGTAAAATTTCATGAAGGTTTGACAAGGCAATTGATGTCTGATTTTTTTTTTACCTAAATGTATCTAAAAATTAACTTGTAAAAAAAACAAGTCCATTTATCAGTAAAACAAAAAGAAATACTTTCAAAATTTTGCTCTAAATACTGCCTTTTATATAATAATTTAGTCATAAAAAGCATTCTGTCCAACTTCCGAAAAATTCCATGAAGGTTTAACAAAGGTATTGAAGTTCAAAAAAAACTTTAACCACAGATTGAACCTAAATTTCGATAACGCCGAGGCCGGCGGAATCAAGGATCGCTGTAGTCTCGTATTCGCGACATATAACATGTCTTAGGCTCGACTAAACTGAAAACCTCATATCATATCTCAGCAGATAATGAATTGCCTACAAAACTGAGTAGAATTCACAGTAGATTCAGACTTTGACAAAAATAAACAAAAATATAATTATATTTTGATTAAAAAGTAAATATCGTCACTACGTGCCTGCCATGGAAGCACTACGAGTATATTCATCGATTGTTACATTGAAAAGATAATCGTGTATATTTTTTCTTATCATAAAACGACTATCCATTGTTGTCTGATAGGACCTGATACTTTAAATTTCTTTAATATAATCAAATGTAAAAATGATTCATATACTAGCTAGTATGTTGAACGCATGTATACCATCGAACTTGAGATAAAGGGATACAACAGATACAGTTAAGTCTGTCTCATATCTTGACCTAGATCTAGCAATTGGCACTGACGGTCGGTTGAAAAAAAAACTTAACGACCTAAGAGATGATTTCAGCCTCTTAATTGTGAACTTTCCATTTCTAAGTAGCAACATTCCAGCACCAACTGCATACGGAGTATATATCCCCCCGTTGGTATGCAATATTAAAGGGCTGGTAATTCCTATAATAATTTCCTTGCTAGTGGGTTGCTGCTATTAAATCAGGAGTTCCAAGTGATGGAATTGAAATCATCCATTCGTAAATTTCACGGACGCCATCTTGAGCTGGTTGGCCGTTATTGAATATCTGTTTCACAGATAACATGCAACGGATATGTTCCAATTGTTACAATCCCGTGCTATTTTTTCCGAATGTGACCTACCGAATTAGACTTATCATCGGGTTTGTATTTACAAGAGCAATACGACGGGTGCCACAAGTGGAACAGTATCTGCTTATCCTTCTGGAGCACCTGAGATCACTCCCAGTTTTTGGTGGGATTCGTGTTGCACAGTCCTTAGTTTTCTATGTTGTGTTGTGTGTACTATTTATATTGTTTGTCCGTTTGTCTTTTCTTGTTTAGCCATGGCATTTTCAGATTAATTTCGACTTATGAGTGTCCCTTTGGTGTCTTTCCTTCTCTTTTTAAATGAAAATTATCTTAGTATATTGTATTGTTGTCGTTTTTTCTATAACTTCTGTCCTTTTTGGTTTATAGCTATTCATTTTTTTAATAAGCATTGGATTCTACAAATATTTTGGCCTCAAGCATCTCTGTAGAGACATAAATTGTCGAAATGCGCATTTGGTGCAGAAAAATTGGTACCGTTTATGTTATTGCCGACTTCATTAAAGATCTAGACCGTAATGACGATTTTAACCATTTATTATTTTTTTAGGGGGTGGTTGCCTGATATCTTGAATAGATAGATAGAAACTTTGAAAACGAAAATGAACAGCAAGACAAGATCTACAGACAAGTTATAATTAAATGGCATAAATCGTCAATCAACTTCTGATCGGACCATTTTCTTTTTCATGTTTCCCTATTACTAGTATTTTGAAAACTATAATAGTTAGACAGAATGATCAGCACGACATGATCTACAAATAAGTCAACGTCTTCCTAAATCGTCAGTGGATTCCTTATTGGAGTATTTGCCCATTAATGATGATTTTGTTTTACATTTTTAGCACTTTTGCCTATTATCTTGAAAACTATAATAGATAGATAGGACCTTTTCAAAAATGATCAATAAGATAAGATTTAGAAGTCATACATTGCTGAAATTGCCAATCGACTGCGTATTTCAGTTATTGCCATTTTATTATTATTATTACCAATTTATTTTGTTTTTGCCTACTTTTTTGGACTATAATGGTAAGAAAGAAAAAAATAATCAGCAAGACAAGACCTGTAAATAGGTCAGCATAGATGAAATTCTAGCTGTCTTCTTATAGGACTTATTGCCCTTAAATGACAATGTTTACGTTTTTCTGTTGTTTTTTTTTTTTAGCAAAATCTATAGAGAAAAATGAAACAAAAAATGAACAGCATGACAGTAGCAACAACAATTGATTTGAGGCATGAATTATATTCTAGTCTACAGTGTTACTACGTTTTATCGTATAAATAATAATGTAATTTTTATTGGGAAGACAAACTGTACATAAAAAAGGTCAAGTTTAATTAATAGTATAATTATTAACAGATTAATGGACTATATATCTGACAACGAGACAGCAATTCAATGACACAAAACACTAAAAGATGTCTACATATGGTCTTCAATAAAGAGAAAATGTCTACATTATATATCAAAAGCATAAAAGCAAATTTGGGCACCGTATTTTACTTTGCAAATATTGAATACTGTGATGAAAACAATAATTTTCTTCTCCACTACTTTTATAAGCATGCACCATTCCATAGTGAAATAAACTAATCATAGATACCACGATAGATTGGAAAACTACAAGTATCATAAAAAAAAATTATTACAAATTCATGGAGGTAATGTTTACAAGGAATTTAAGGAAAAAAAGGGATCAAAATTTGATTTATTTACCCATCAGCTCATAAACTATGAAAGCTGTTTAAAATCTGTCAATAATATCAACCTTTTTTTTCAAGAAGAACCCAATAACAATAATACCATGTGAATTACATGAGAATTCTAAAATTGTCAAGTGATGTATCATGTGAAAGTGCCATTCTGATCATTATGAAACCAGTTTGAATTGAATCAAAAATTCCCATTCAAATTTAATACAAGCTGAAAATTCCATATACATGTATTCCTTTCGGCTACTTATAGATTGAAAAACCGTAAGCTTTGTTCATGAAAGAGAATCCAGACAAGCAATCATATCACACCAAATTTATTTGTGTTATTTTCATTTAAGAGCTCTTACAAATCATATTCAAAAATACAGTCAGGACTTTTTATAAGGAGTTCACAGCACACATTACACACCAAACTTTTAGAAATATTGAAATTTTGGAGATGTATATAACTCTTGTCTTTTTATAATTTGTTTACAAGTAAAAATACATTAAAATATATTGATTTGATAAATGTATCTGTTTCATTTGACATCAAATTTCATCGTTCTGATAATCTTTAAGTGTATCTCACTAGAAATAATTATTCATGGAGTTGGTTCAGTCAAATTTAGGAATAGTTAGTCTCTTGCAAGAACAGCAGATTCAAGTATCATTTGTTCTAAACAAAAATGATGAAACTGTTTTCCCCAACATCCCTAATCGGAACCAAATGCACGCCCTTTCCGATTCACGAATTATCAGAACAAATCATTCCTTTATCATTATTATGCGTTTTAAAACCATATTGTTTCTTTACTACAGAAACGTTTACCCTTACAGCTATACATTTGTATATTCATTTAAAAATGGGATAAAACAAACTTTTTGAAAAGACGATAATATATATATATATAGATGTACTCGAACTTCCTTGTTTGGTTTTGAGGTCAAGCAACGTAACATCGAATTAACATGGCGCAGGGAAGCTATTTTGATATTGAATCAAAATGTGGGATTTGTTTGTCTCCGTACACAGAACCGCGGCTATTGGAATGTTTCCATACTTTTTGCACACCGTGTCTCGAAAAACTGGATGTGAATGATGATAATGTGACGTGTCCGTTATGTAGGGCACAAATAGCTCTTCCAGACAATGGGGTAAGTGGTTTAAAAACTTATCCTTTCTACGTTGAACCATCTCACAGAGACAATGAATTAATGGACATTTGCGAATTATGTTCGGAAGAGAATTATGTTGTAGCTAAATGTCTAGATTGTAAAATAGATTTATGCTTGGACTGTCGCGACTACCACAAGAAACTAAAGGCGTCCCAGAATCACTCACTTGAGAACTTGAAATTAGATGAATTGAAACAACACCATGAAAATCCAATAAACGAATGCAATGAACATAGAAAAGAGATTACTTTATTTTGCGTACCTTGTAATATCTTTTTGTGTAGTGAGTGTTCCGAAAAAGCACATCGTTTGCACAAGGTTCAGAACCTATCACAGTTAGTTCAGACTAGAAAGAAAATGTTACTGGCCAGAACAGCGGGCTTGAAATCAAGAATATCGGTTATCGGAAACACTGCAGAAAGAGTCAAACAAGAAGAAAACTATTATTACAAAACATGCAGCATAGTAAAAAAAGATATATTAGCACACGCTACAAGCATTAAAGAGGTATTTTGTAACACCGTCGATATATTGGCGAATAAACAATTAGCTACAATCGACAACACTAAAAAAATCGATATCAAAGTGATTGACACGTACTTGATTGAGATAGAAACAGAACAATTGTCATTGGCTGGTCTCATCAAGACAACGGAGGATTTCATTGCTAGGTCTACAGACAAAGAGTTAACGGTTGATGCATTTATTATCGGTGGTCATCTTGACAAAGTCCTGAGCAAAAATCTGAATCCATTGGGTTTGCATGTGCAGAAATATGAATGTGAGGAATTCCCTGAAGCTACCGTAGAAAATTTGCTTGGAAAGATTAATGCTTCAAAGGTAAATGTTATTACACCTTTATATACACAATTGCCTATTCCTGAACTGTTTCCTAAAGTAGAAAAGGCACATAGCTTTCAACTTTATGGTTGTTTAATCAAAGATATTGTTGCCGCAAGTAACGGCAATGCGTGGATATTCAAGGGGAATTTGGCCTGCCTGGTTAGTGAAGATGGAACTGTGCGTTCTACTTATGCACCACCGGAGGAAAGCAGAAGAATGCTTAGAAAGTCTGCAGAGGAGATATGGTTGTGGACTGGACAGTCGGCAGTGAAGAAAGTAAATTCACAATTTCAAGAAGGGTATAAAGTTTCATTTAATAACGGATCGGTCGGTTGTTTCATTCAAAATGGGAATTTGCTTGTGTATAATAAAGAGGAAAAAGTATTCTGTGAAGTATCCGAAAAAGGTAGTGTTCAAAACAAAATAAAAATCACAGATCCAAAAAATAAACTTCAGAATACTAACATTTTAACTAGTACGGATATCTTGATGGCAGAAACTAGGAACTGCAATCTTGTTATTTCAACGCGGAAAAATAAAACTGTTGTAATAACAAATAAACATGGAAGCATTCTTGAGACATTTAAACGATCAAATGCAAAATTCCAAAGTATAGCTGTGGATAATTACGGAAATATTTTAGTATCTGATTGCAACAACGGGTTAATCGATATTTTATCGGAAAATGGAATGTTTCAAAGAAACTTGTTGAAAACTAGATCTCATTTTATTAGTATTGATGAGTGTGGCTTTTTGTGGGCGTGTCATGAGAATGGTTTTAACACTATTGAAACCGATATATATTCGTACCAATAAAAGTGTCCTTTCTTGATTCCGTCTTTTAGGTCATCGTAACATTTTTAAAAATTAAATGGGTACCTAAGCAACTTCAGAAATGTATAACAAAACATCAGAACACGACAGATGACGGTAACACTAACAAAGAATATATGAACTAAAAGAGAATTATAAGGTAATCTGAAATTAAACACGACATCATCTTATAATGAAAAGAACTGAATTGGGTATTCCGAAAAAGGAAAGTATGCCTTCGTATTATCGTGAAGTAATATCAAAGCTTTAAACCCGCAAGTATCGTTGGTAATATGATTTCTGCTCTTTGTAGCTTTTGTAGGATAGACGTTTTATTATAACATGCAGTTATTTAAGATAGAGTACTTCGTATTACATCGTTTCTTTATATATGCGAATACATGGTCAGTTTGGATACCAACAGTCAAGCCGTACGGACGCCGTTGATTTACAGTGACATTCTTCGAATTGAATATAGAACATTTGTTTAGAATTACCATTTGTTTTATTTTATTGGAATATTTTCCGTTTAACTTTTATTGTAATTCCTTTGCACTATTGAGGAAATTATACATAAACTACAATCTAACTGCAATTAATCTTTGTTGAATTAAGCCAGTGAGTCCCCCTCCCCTCCGTTACAGTTCGAGTTTGAATTTTGTTCCGGTCTGATGACTTTGTGCAGAGTTATTGTCCTTGGACTTAGAAAATTCAGTTATATTATCAATTTTCAACACTTTTTTCGTCATGCTTGAAGATATTGACTTGATATTTACACCATGACAAGTTAATTAGCTAAAGAAAATGAAAAAAGAGGGAGGTATGGTGTAAATGCAGATGGGACTTTTCAACCCATCAACACAATTACCTAAAAGCAGGCAAAGTTATAATTCATCTTCTTAAAAAGTTATGTATTTTTTTGAACGGTTTCATGTTAAAAATAATCTGGTCAATGTCAACTTAAAACATAAAGAATAGCTATTGTCTATTAATTCATACGCACTTGTTTCGTAATTTTCGGACGCTGTCACGAGTTGTTTGATCGTTATGGAATATCCGTTTCACAGATGACAGCGGATACGTTTCAAATGTCGTAACTAAAATTCCTCCCTTTTCCCCGAATATGACCTACAGAATTATATACTTATTACCATGCAGGTTTGTACTAACCTATGCAACACGACGGTTGCCACATGTGGATCAGGATCTACTTACCCTTCCGGATCACCTGAGATCATCCCAAGTTTTTGGTGGGGTTCGTGTTACTCAGTCTTTTGTTTTCTATGTTGTGTTTAGTATACTACTGTTTGTCCGTTGGTCATTTTCTTTTTTAGTCATTGCGTTGTCAGTTTATTTTCGACTTATGAGTTTGCCGGAATGTCCCTTTTGGTATCTTTCGCCTCTCTAGTACATGTTGAATTATATATATTTAAATGATTCATCAATAGATATCATGACAGATCTGCCATCATAAGAAGTCCAACTGTCAATTGTATAGTCTTCAACTTTAATCTTGTAGGTATTCTATACTTTTGTGTTTGCTATATATATACATAACTATTGGTTCAACATTTAACACTTGCCCACATTTCATCAAACTGCAATAAATACTAATATTTCATGATACATTTATTACATATACATGGCATTGATAAATTTAGTTATTAAGACTAACGGAATTTATTCCTTTTCCTTAAAGTTTCTGTGTTGCACTATCAATAGACTCAATAAATAAAGCATCTGTAATAACTTTCATCTATTTTTGACGTTATCCACAGTCTAGACGCCATCTAATTAACCATCGATGTTACCTTCCGAAGACTTTGTTCTGGTACTATACTGACCATAATGTATATCATATCTATAGACAAACACGTCCAAACAAGTTTATTGCAAGAACAACAAATATTTCCATTTTGTTTATATAAAAACAATAAAATTTTGTTGCCAAAAAATGATAATCCGAATACTGTGAGCTCTTCAAATAAAAAAAATTAAACCGTACGCAACTTGTTAAATATGAGATGTAAATATCTATTTGATATGTAGAAATTTTGATGTTTGATGTAAACCAGCGATTTCAAACAAAAGTTTAAGAAACATTGCTTCTGATTCAATAATATGGAAAGCCTCAGCTGTCATATATTAGAGATTTACAAAACGTTATGCTGAAGCTTAAAATGTAAAGTTAAGACAGCGTGATGTTGAATTGAGTCACCAAAATGCTAACTCTAAATTACAATATGCAAAGTTGAATTTGCGCAATGTTGACTTGCAATGACAAGTGCTTTAGTCGTGATAGTATAATGATAAGTCACGATGTTGTGATGATATGCCAAACACACGTGACGTTGGGTTTAAAGTACATGATGTGAAGTTGACGTTGCATGATGTTAGCTTGCAGATTGATACTGCTCAGTCATCCACATCGACAGCTATGATAACAAATAAAATGAATAGCTAAAATGTATGGTGCTGCCTTGTTATTAATAAATGTCGAGCTGAGATAGTACGATGTTATATCATTGTGATATTACGATTGGTCTATCATGCAATCTGTTGATTTAAAACACCATGATGCACAGTTGAAAGTATATGATGTTAAGTTAAGATAACACGATGCTACACCACTATATTGAAACGAAATGTTTACCATACAATTTGTTGACTTAAAACAACACGATGCAACGTGTTGAGCTAAGATGCTCTCTTGAAATTACAGGACGTACAGTTGAAATTTTGTAATGCTAAGCTACGATAGCACGATGTTATATCATTATAATGTCACAGTAGGCTTATTATACAATTTGCTCATTTAAAACTACACAACGTACAGTTGAAAGTACGTGATGTTAAGCTAAGATAGCACGTTGTTATATCATTATAATGTCACGATAGGCTTACCACACGATATGCTCGTTTAGAACTACACGACGTACAGTTGAAAGTACGTGATGTTGAGCTATGATAGCAATATCTTATATCATAATAATATCACGATAGGCTTGCCATACAATATGCTCATTTAAAACTACACGACGCACAGTTGAAAGTGCGTGTTGTTGAGCTAAGATAGCACGATGTTATATCATTATAATGTCACGATAGGCTTGTCACGGAATAGAAGTTCCTTCATAATATAAGTACCAAATGGAAACAATATTCTGGAATATTATTTCCACTGGAATAAATATTACAGTAAATGTTCCTAACGGAATAAATGGTATAGAATATTTGTTCCAACAGGAATAGATATTATGACATTGTTTATAACAAAGTTTCCAGTGGAACTTCTGTTAGGCGGAACAAATATACGTTGACAGGCTTATTATACAATTTGCTCATCTAAAATTACACCATGTACAGCTGAAAGTACGTGGTGTTAAGCTAAGATAGCACGTTGTTATATCATTAGAATGTCACGATAGGCTTACCACACGATATGCTCATTTAAAACTACATGATTTTCAGTTGAAACTAGGTGATGTTAAGCTAAGATAGCATGTTGCTATATCATGTGAATGTCACGATAGGCTTATCATACAATATGCTCATTTAAAACTACACAACGTACAGTTGAAATATGTGATGTTGAGCTATGATAGCACGATGTTATATCATAATAATATTACGATAGGCTTGCCATACAATATGCTCGTTCAAAACTACACGACGTACAGTTGAAAGTACGTGTTGTTGAGCTAAGATAGCACGATGTTATATCATTGTGACGTCACGAGAGGCTTATCATACAATGTGTTGACTTGAAACTACACGATGTAAATTTGAAGTAGTTTGGTCTTGACTTGAAACAGTAAAATGTTAAGTTATAAAAACAGAACGTAAAGTCAAAATAAAACAATGATAGGATGACATATACTTGTGCAGAATTGAAGATTTTTGGTGTTGACTTCGAATATAGTACAAATATTAGATCGTTTTATGTTAAATTGAAAGACAATAATGATGCGTAAAACATTACAGAATTATGTGAATTGAAACTGCAATTCTATGGAAAAGAATGAGGGACAAATCCCAAGGATTTTTTCTTCTTCATTTGCAAGTTCGGAGGCAAAATGATTCATTAAGCAAAAGAATTACCCATCGCTATATATTACACTTGAATATAGTTTTGCCGTATATTTTACATGTTTTGTTTGGATTTTTTTTTATGATTAAAAACCAGACTTTTTTTTATGAACAATATTTAAGAAAATATTTATCTATGTTGTGTGTTAATATATACAACATAATATTGTGCTTATAAGACTTATGACTGTGAGGGTCAAATTTTACTCATATAAAATCACATCTATGTAAGAGTTAGCGGAGAATTTGTATATACCACTCCCGTTTTCCACGAAATAGAACATAAGAATCTGGAGTCTTAATCTTAAAAAACAAAGATCAACTGATATGACAAATAATACGATTAGCGTAGGACTGAGAGGGTCAAAGCTATATCAAAATGTGACCCCCACCCCCGGTCTTGTTAGAGGTATCTGAAAATTTGAATTTTCTTTTCCACGAAATAAAGCAAAAAGAATTCATAGGTGGAAGAATCCTACTGCATGGGGCCAACCCAAACATAAAGTATGGTAGATTCTGTTGTATACTTTTCGCTCATACATGAAGTCTATATGAAACCTAATGAAATTTGACCTAGAGCCTCCAGTCTAAATCGTCAACTTTCAAAAAAAAAAATACATCATTTACAGCAGTGCCAACCATTTTTCCAGCACCAAGTAAGATAGTGCCCAGGTTTATGTATATATCCACTAGGAGAATATTTTATTTTTTTTAAATTGGTAAAGTCATTAATGGACAATGACCCCTATAACTTATAATAAGAAGCCAATTAATGATTTCTGTCCCTTATTTTCTTGTCCATAATGATTTTCTTGGTTCTTTGCAGCTTCTCTCTATCTATAAGTGTTTTCAAAGAAAAAAAAAAGAAAAAATCTGTAAAAATTGTTAAAGTCCATGAATTATTTTGGTATTGCTTTGATTAATTTGTAGATATGTTTTTTTTTAATGTCAACAGTTTCTCTCTCTCTCTCTCTCTCTCTCTCGCTCTCTCTCTCTCTCTCTTATAGTTTTCATAAGTGTGGTTTAAATTAAAATCGGTAGATTTTTTTTAATTATTTGCCAAAATTTAGTTTATTCTTTTTTGAAAAACATAATAAAAAGTTTGGGCCACAGAGCATTTTGCAAGCTACAGGTTATGCAGTATTGTCAGATTTTGTATAAACTATACATGGAAAACTCAATGTTAGAAAATAAAAATAAAAATTGGGATCACGAGACTCGTTTTCTGTCTACAAAACAAAATAGATAAAGTCCCTACACATTCCATCATTAGAGACGAAATATGCCAAAGGGATTTCAAACTCATAAGTCGAAAACAGACTGACAATGCCATAGCAAAAAAATCAAAAAAATCAAAAACGACAAAAAATAATGTTATCCGAGTTATCTCCCCTATATGGAAAAGTTGAAAAACATATGCAAAAAACGTTCTGTATTCAAAAACAAATAGTCGTTTTAATCAGATAAATCTCATAATTTTCTTCATCAAGATGAAAAGTACTACAT